TTAATTAAATTATAAATATATCAATTCATGTGAATATGACTGAAAATTTTAAATTTTCCTGAAAAGGTGGTGTCTATTTACTTGTGACCACGCTGTGTATTATAAAAAATGTTTTCCTGACAAAAGAATAATGTAGGTGGCGGAAATGACACAATTTAGTATTCTACCATTATAATTTGGTTTGAAATTCGCGCAAAGCTACACAACGTCTACCTGCGCTATCTGTCCCTAATTTAGCAGTGACAGACTAAAGGGTAGGCAGCTAGCGAACACCTCCCACAGCCTACCTTTAGGCCACTCTTTTATCAACGAAAGGTGGGATTGAACGTCACATTATCACGCCCCCATGGCTGAAAGGGCGAGCATGTTTGGTGACAGAAAATTCGAATCCGCGACCAGGCTTACAATTATAACAACTCTTAATTGTACCGTAAATAATTATTGTATAAATTATACGTTTATGTAACAGGAACTAAAACGAAAATAATAATTTTAATTAAATTCCTAACTTCTTATTGTAAAAAACAGAAATATGCGTCTTAGGAATCTTCTTCTTTTTTCTTTTTTTTTGACGTCAGGAAGTTTACCATCCATGTAAGATATTACTAAGATGCCCCAAACCCTACCTAAACCAGCACTAAGAGAACAAAACATGAGATTTTTCTCAGAAAATAAGCTTATCTCTACAGCGAGTTACGCAGCACATATACTATACACACGCCAAACATAGTTTATCAAAAGGAGGATTTCCTCCTCGAAACCGATAAGCACAGTTGATTTTAGCTGTGAAAACTGTAGTTGCCTGTTGAAAGAAAATGATACAACGTTTCGGCTCCTAGCCTCAGTATAGAAACCGAAACGTCGTCTCATTTTCTTTCAACAGGCAGTTGCAGTTTTTAAACTTACACACTATGTCTATATAAAGTTTCAGTAAAACAAGGTTGGCTGGTTTTTAGATATTCTATGAATATTATAGTGCAAGATATTCTCTAAAGCCCTCCCCGCCCCATCCTAAATCCGCGTAATTAATCAACTGTCTGTAGTTTTACTAAAAAAAACTGAGTATCAGTAAAAGGAAATGTTTGACGTTTGATTTAGTGTTTAAACAACACAATTTTGTGTTACTCTTTCGCTAGGACGTGAAACTCAGTAGTAACATGAATTGTGTGCTTACTGTTTGACATGATGAAAACAAGTAATAATTTTCAATTTGCGTTTACTATGATGCGATGGGAAATACATATTGACATTCATTGGATGACTATAAGACACGAGAAAATAAAACCAATGTGACGAGTACTTCATTCATATAAAATGTTGTTCTTAATATTTATTATAGACGAAAAATATACACATAACAACAAAACACTTATCAAATGCATTAATAATCCGCTGAATTTATTCCGAGATTTGAAATTTAAAATTTCACATTAGCGATCGATGTGTTCTAAGGAAAAGAAGTCTGCCAATAAAAACGACAACCACACTTAAGATGAACAACATTATTTATATCACAAGAGATGCAGATAAACGTTTCGGAATTTTACAGATTCAATCTTCAGGAGATATTTAAAATACCACTTCGATGAACAATCCGAGCCATCCCTATATAGGTGGCCTGACATAGCCAGGTGGTTAGGGCGCAGTCTGAGGGTCGCAGGTTCGAATTCCCGTCCCACCAAACATGCTCGCCCTTTCAGCCGTGGTGGCGTTATAATGTTACGATCAATTCCACTATTCGTTGGTAAAAGAGTAGCCCCAGAGTTGGCTGTGGGAGGTGATGACCATGGAGAAATATTATTATGGGCAATTTGGGGTGTGACAGTTGCCGAGATAAATGAAATATGTGCATAACCAAAAGAAAAGATATTATAATCGTAAAAGCAGGTGGGTTTCAACATATCTGGATCTTAGGAAGTCACAAATTAAACTTGCAAGTTTTGATTCGCCTACTCAGCGTTCACAATAAAGCAGAGACTTTTGCGATACAGGTAAAATGAAAATTATACAAATAATTCATAAACAGGTATCGTTAAAAAGCAAGTATAATTTCGTGTTCTTATGAACTATAGTCTATACTGAATGCTCTAAAACAAGTCGTAATAAAACTTTGATGTGTGATATCTGAAAAATAGATTTCCAAACTATATTTTATAGCGTTAAAGAACTTGGAAGCGGAAGGATACTTTACATACAGCTTGTATGATGAAAACGTAGGTGCAACCTATTTGCTTTGTTTATTTCTAATACAGTTAGTATGGATTAGAAGTTTATTCCTAAATTCTAGACATAGACAGCTTTTGTTCATGATTCTAATTCTAATATAATCTTTTTGTTATAATAATGAATAATTAATATTACTAAACAAGCTGCATTAAAAATAGTAATTTATTTTACATGATACAAGGTTTCCGGTACATATCTGTGATTTTGACCCATATTTTATGGCCCAACTTGTGTAATGACGCTAGTCCCAGTACAAAATAAAAGGGATATCACTTTAGGCTCGTTTTAACATTTAGAATAATATGTTTTTGAAAATTGTTGCGAAAAAGCGTTATTTAGCTATACTACTAAACAAATATTTTAAAACCTGTTTTATCTCAATATAAAATGAAATGGAAAATACTCACAAGATCCAGCTTCGACATTTCAGTAATAACAAGTTTATAACTTGTATGTTTTAGACATACAGTTAGTATACTTACATTTCTGGTGTAATATATATATATATATAACTGGTTGAAACTATAAAAAAAACCTTTTGTAGACTTTTCTTGGTTCCTGTGTTTATCAGCCGCGATTTCATGCTAAAGAAACTTCCAAGAAAAGCTTGCGATCACGTGATTTTAACTGTCTTCTGATTGGGTCTCGATGTTACTTTGTGAGTCAGAATTAGTTTCTGACCATTAACGGAAAACTGACATTTAATGTTTGTATTAATAAAAAAAAGCTTATTGCATCGTATAACTGGTCAAACTTATTGCAAGTAAAACCCAGATTGCAATATATACATAGTTCTACGAATTACTCTGTATTCTAGAAGTAGCAAGACGTTTTGGAATTTGTTTCAGCTTAACATTTAACAGGAAGGAGGTAATGTTGAGCCTTAAATTTATTTAGTATATTGTAGGTTTTACGTGATCTTGTAATAAGGGGTCATTCAAAAATTAAGGAATGCAAATTTTATCCTTTTTTGACGTCCTATCTACATGCAAGACTATAACACGTCGTAACACCTCTAAATTATTACCTAACACTAACTTATCAGCCCCCCCCCCCAACGTAGACATTTTAAGTATAAATATCTTTCAATATATTAAACAATACTATATGACTTCTTTAATATGCCACGTAAATTATGTAGTTAATGATGGCATCATTCGATGTAATGTGCCACCATCTAGCGAATTATAATAGAAGCATATTTACCGCTCTCTTGCAAAGTAGCTAATATAGCACTATTTCCTCTGCGTACACGTCTGCTATGCAGTGTAAACAACAACAGAAATCACAAAACGAGACGATCTTTCCCCGATTAATAGAAACCTATATACAGCATCCTCAAATACATATAACCGAGATGTACAAAAACATGTTTCACCTGTCTGTAGAAAGATTAAGAAGTTACAAGGTTTCTAGTAAAGTGTGAAAATAACAACAGCAAGAATGGACGAAGAACCAGATCAAGGTAAAAGCTTTAAATGGCTGAGTTTATATCAGGATACATTTACAAATCAAACTAATTTTCAATATTTCATACGTATACCAAACATATCCCAATAAATTAAAAGCATCATTTAAGTATTTTACATTCATCAGTATTCATGGTCATCAAAAAAACTTACCAACTACAGTTACAATATTAAACATATTTTAAAATTATTAATAAAAATAATGCTAATAATTATCATATCATAATTCATCATGTTCATAAGCCTATGCATAAATGCTATGATTTTTTTATTGTATGTTCAACGTTTTGGTAATTCTGTTATAACTTAGACCTATTTATTATTTGGAATGGTAAGCTATTATTATAACTAGCATCATTATAATTGACAATACGTTTAATATTTCTGTTTTACAGATACACAAAACTAATACATCAACTAAAACTGGTAAAAATAGCGAACATTTTGTGCCTGATGCCAGTGAGGGCGCTACTTAATGAGGAAAGAAGGGAGATTAATTTAAACAGTAGGTGGACAAAAAGTTCCAGCAAGAGGAAAGTTAAAATTACCTTTCTGTTGGAAGTTTCTCTACGTCTCATGGTGCGAGAGTTATTGATATCGAGGAAGAATGCGTATTGGGAACTGACTTCTTGCAGAGACATGGATACGAGTTAAGCTAACTTCAGATAGCTTCACAGCTTATGAACAGGATGTCACCGTGCATTACATGGCAAGTACTACAACAGGGGTTAAACTTCTAGTAAAAAGAGAGAGAGGGTGGTCAATGAATTACCTAGAAGTGAAATACTCATATTAGAACTTGGGTATAATGGAACCAAACACTCTCGCATGTATTGGAAGCGGAAGAGACATGAGGACGATGAGGGACAAAAAGCCATCCAATTACATACTATAATCTTAGGGGGGAAACCATCAAAATAATTATTGGAAAGAAAGTTCAGTGTACTGTTTTATTTGTATATTGGGATTGGTCAAGAGAATTCACAATCCTGGAAGGGACAGTGTTGTAAGCTACATTTTTAGTATCTTAATTCGGATGTTTGCTAGAGGGCTCATGACAAGATCTAAAATGTTCATGAAAATTAAGAATGGAGAAGTTACACGTAATATATAGAGTACAATGTAAATACGAGAGCAATCAGTTGACTTGTTATAATATCCAGTGGGTGATTCAGTTCAGTGTTAGTAGTGAAGTTTATCACGTCTACTAGCAAGTAAATTATGTAAGTAAGTTTATTTGTAAGTTAGGAATACGTAACATATTGTTGTAGTTTCTATTGAAATGTTGTTTTTAAACTTAGGTTTACAAAAATTTAACATAGCTTGAACCTGCAGCAGACGTACTTGAAGACGTATATTAATTCATTATTGTTAAATGGACTCTAATTTACATTATATTTATCAAATAATCCCACGGAACCCAACGATGAAACATGTTACAAAATATTTTTATAATGCTTAAACAAGTCTCTCACATTTCCTCAGATTTACATAAAAGTTTGTTTGCCAACAGATGTACCTCAAAGATCACTCCAAACTAAGATTGCATTGTCTCATGTGCGAGAAATTTATCTTTCTTTCTTTACATATACATTGTGCCTCAAAATAAGCTACGTAATCAATATTACATGTAATAAAAACGTCTTCAGCTTTTATACACACACACATATATTAAAAGAAATTAGTCTTTTAGAGAAAAACCACCTTTAAAAACTGTCGTAGTAATTTATTTGCTTGGCGGCGTTTCGAGCAAACGCTCTTTTTCAAGCCAAAAAACGCACACTTCAAAAAGTTGGAACTGTTTCATGTAACTTTTCCCCTTTATTAATTAGGGGAAAAGTAAGTTTGTTACTTGTAAAACAAGGGATTGTATGAAGAATGATCCACAGAAAAGGATGAAAATGGTAGGAGAATACTTGAATCGACTCCAACCATCCTCTCGATGAATATATGAAACACAGTTGCAATTTACGAAATAAATCATGACAGTTTTATCATCAAAAACAATTACCTTAACAAATTAATTTATGCATTCGCATATATTAGCGCTTATACACGTTCTGGAAAGAGTTTTCCTCATCGGACAAATCGAAGATTTATTAAATTTCAGGTTCATTGTTTACATTTTTGACAATGGCTCAAAGTGATATAGTTGGATATTGTCTGCTAGTGTACGTATCTTATCATCACTGATGTATTCTAAATTCATGACCCGATATTGACTGTTGATAGGTTTAACCTTATTGCTACAGCTATGTGAAAGTGTGCATATTATAACTTGTTATATTCAGAACTTTATTAGACCATTTTATTATCAATGTATGTAAATAAACGTGGTATGAAACCGTAGTTTATAATTATTTTTTTATATTTAAGTTTTTAATTAAATTTGAAAATAAATAAAACCTTCTCTATCTTCATTGTTCTACGTCGCATAACACGTCCGAGCTCCAATTTTACAATTTCAGAAACTTATAACTTCAGTCATAGGCTTCTATAATTTACATTCATTTGAAAACACAAACCCATTACAGCTATTTCATTTTGACGGCTATAGAATGACAGTTTGCTACATTTTCTTCGTAAGTCTGCTTGAACATTTAAAGGCATTTTAAACCTATTTATATTTTACTTAGAAAGCCAGAAAAATTATATTAGTTTTGAGACTTTATATCCTAGTGACTGGCGTATGTTTTTTCTTTTGTGTGTGTGTGTTCTAAAATGAATATTTGAAAAATATATTGTTGCATCAGAGGGTC